TTTTTTTTTTTTTTACTCATTTATATCTTTCCTTCTGTGCTTCTTTGTTTTTTTTTTTATTTTTTGTTTTGTGTAGAAGGTGAGCGTCTACGATTTTTTCATTTAGAAAGAGCTCAAGCGAGGCAGAAGAAAAAGAAGCAAAACAAGGAAAAATTAGTAAGTACTCCAGAAAGTTTCAAGACAAAAGAGAATCAGAGATTTATAATCCTTATTTCTTAGAATCTAACCGTATATCTCAAATTAGTTCAGAAATGTAATCAACAGTTGCGCAGTTTGCGCTCGAAATTTATATTTTTTTCACTTTTTGCTTATTTGCAAATGAATCAGGCTTCCAGGATTATTTTGTAATTTTTTTCCGACAAAATTGAAGTTTACTTTTATTCTGACTTGGCAATAGGATTCCTTGACCAAAGCGCGGTTGGCTTCATCACCGGCTTTGAGACCTTCGCGACCATACGCAAAAGTACTTAACGGAGGATTAAGGTCACGTTAAATTCTTCATAGAAAAGCCTGGGAAGAAACAGGAGACTTTATCACATGGACTTGGGTTGAGGTCAGAAGTTGCAAGAATAGATAAACAAAGCCTTCTAATCAGATCTGGATAAAAGTTTTCCTGGCGTTCGGTCAGTAGTTATGATAATTTTTAACCGGTTTAATCAACTTTAGAGTTTTCTCCCAGACTGTTGTTAAGTATTTTGAATTTCTAATTTTCCATAAGGATAAAAACACTTTTTTCCTTCGACTCAAGTTACCCCTGTTTACTGCACTTAGGTTTGTGGATAGTCGAGCCTGTACTGATTTGCACGAATTAATTTTATGACTGAGTAAGATGAAAATGACACTTAAATTTTATGCAAAAGCTCTCAATAGAATATATATCACCAGTAATGGGAAATTGGAGACAGACATTGTAAAAAATAACAAAAACAGCGATAAGACGTCATCTAGAAAAAATTATTTGCGAAAAAGTAATAAGCGATGCCTAGGCGCACAAAATAACTGTGACCGTTTTTGGTCTTCCCTTGTTCTAAGCTATTCTCCAATGCTCCTTCAAACTGTTGATTAGCCATACCACTTAATAAAAGATTTAGGCAAAAGTTTTTCAGAGAAATTAGATATTTAATGCAAACTATGAATGGTTCCAGAGGTTGATATCAGCCCGAAACGGCCATGCTTATGCGCCAGAATTGACTTCTAGTTTTAATTGATCTTCTGCGATGAGTCACGACACCCTTGGCGAAAGAAAGAAGGTGGTCGACACTATTATAATAGACCTGTATAGCATATGAAGCCATTCTGCCGAACGAAGCGCTAAGACGAATTGATCAAGGCGTGATTGCCTAACTCTAAGCTCCGGTTTTTGAGCATTAGTGTTCGCTTTCCTGGTATGTTTATAAATGCTTGCTACATTCATTCGTTGGGTGAGGTTCCTT